GTCTTATCATAATTATACAATTTTACCGCATCACTTTCAAAGTCGTAAAGTAAAACTCAATATTGCTGCAATACGCGAAGTGTCACGTCCGATAAGATGCAAAAAGCCTTCGTGTATTGTTTACGGCAAGAACACACTAACGTGTCAGTTTTCGTTTTCAAAGCAAAATTTTTTTTCCGACTATTTTAATGAAAAATTGCATTTTACATGCATACCATTTAAAGGTATATATGGATAATTAATTATTAAAAATTTTTATTATTATCGCTTATTGGTCCACACATATATGCATTTAATAAGCGTAAGAAAATTTCAAGGCAGTATAAATTTTAAAGATACTCGAAATTCAAGACAAAAATAAATGCGAAAGAAAGATACAGATGTTGCAGATCTCATAGATTTATCGCTAATGTGGCTACGGTTTTACGCACAGATATATATATATATATGTAGATCATAAGTGAATGTTGGATGTATATAATACACTTTTCGAAAGGCCTATTTTTACGGAGCATTAACTTAATTCAATTCCCGCTGCAATGTCCAAAGTATCTCAGCCTCTCCGGTACTACAAGTAACTCGATAGCCCAGCTCGGCTAGGGCATTTATGATGGAGAACGGTGATCCTGAAATCAATTTTGTAACGTAAGTTCCCAAAAGATCTCAGCAAATAAATTGGTATTATTATTTAGACAATAATTCTTTTCTCTCAAAATTTTTGTAAACAATTATAACATCAATCTTATGGAAACAAAAAATCTTATTTCCATTAAATTAATTGAATTCTTAAGACAGAATAATCAAATCAATCTTAGCAAAATAATTTCCGATAAGTTTAAATTACTTATACTTGTAGATGTATCACACAGATAATTAATATTCACGATAAGTTTATACATAGGCGCGAAATTATCATAGTTCAGAGATCTTCGATATTTTCAGGACTTTGCAGAGCGACTTAATTAGAACTGCTTTTAACAGAATTCCGGGAGATTAACCTTTAAACATAATTCCATTCACGACATTCGGGCAACTAGGACACAGCGGAAAACGGCTGCGCAGAGCCGTCACTTCTTCCGGCGGTAGACCGAATATCGCGCTATCGGACGCAAATGGAGATGCCTTTACACCGATGTAATAGAGAGTGTCGTCATCGTCGTCGACGGCGGTGGCGGTGATTTGCTTTTTGAACGTGACGTTTGCTTTTGCCATTGTCGCGCTAAAAGTATCGTTATACTTCGTCGTGTTTTATTTCTAGAAGAAAAGCAGACGTGACACACGTGAGCGATGGTCGGAGCCGTTTATCTCGAAAGTGGTACACTTCGAGTATATATATCGCATTTCCTTAGAAAATAAGATTGAACAAAAATTAAAAAGAAAAGTTTAATACAGTTGTACCTTTATATTATGGATTTTTATTAATGATGTTTTTTCATTTATACGTTATACTTATAATTTTTCAACGATGTTCAAACAGAACAAAGTCAACCCGTCCTTCAATTTCGAAATCTTTTAGAATGAATATAAAGACATAAAATTATTATTTTCAGCTATTTAAGAGAAAAATATGTATGCAGTCTTAAAATTCCTATTCTTTAATAAAAAAATAATAATAATAAACAATCTGAAACGATCGCCATACGCCTTTATTGAGGAAATATTAAAAAGAATTGAATAAAGCCACTTTCAGGATAAATGGCGTGTCTGTCGATTAAATGAATCAATTGAAGCTGATATGATACGACATCTGTATCTCCAATAGAAAACAAATAAAAAAAGAATACAAGATGGAATTTTGAAAGAAATGATAACAAAATTATAGTATTCCGATAGTTTTTCATGTCTTATCAGAACAGTTTTAAGAGAAAAAAATAGAAAGTATTGATAACAAACTAGCTTAGCTTCTTCTTCTTCTTAATTTCTTATTATAATTAATATCATTTAAAATGTTATAAACGATCATTTTTAAATAAAAAATGTTTTCTATTGGGGAGACGATTAGCACACATTAAGCATACATAATATATATGCAAGTGATATTTGGATTATAAACTTTCAATGAAGACTCATATATTTTCCGATAGTGCATAAAATTCTAAGTGAAAAAAAAACACATTGCACTAAGGTTAGTAGAATGGTTTGCAACATTCAGTGAAATCAAGTATATATATATTTGCAATTTCTATATGCAACTTTATAGCTATTTATAGCTTACTATAATGCTTTTGTGTTTTTGCATATTAATTCAAATAGTGCAAAATCATTCTATAAGACGTGCCTAGTGACATAAAAAGAGGACGTGGAAAAATAACTTTGTCAAAGTAAAATAAATTTCATTAATATAATTTAGTAAAAATGTAATAAATTACTATGCAAAAAAATAAACATATGTCTCGCGATATTTTTGGAAAGGTGCAATATTGTTATCTTAGCACGAAAACAACAAATAATTTAAGAATTTTTAATAAAAAAAAATATTTTGTACGATGTGTGCAGCTAATTACGTACGTTTAAAAGGTTGATTACAAGAAATCATGAAAATGCGAACATTTAATGTATTCATCAATATGTGAAATTTATCTCTTCAGATAGCCGAAGGTACCTAGAAATAATTAATAAGTACAGATAATAAATGTAACAGATTAAGAAGTACCTTGCACTAAAAAAATATATATGAATACGAATATAGTAGCAAAAATAAAATATACTTATTCCCCCAATTTTGCAAATATAGTAAAATGTTTATCGCCAAATAACCCTCACATTGTACGTCAATATAATAAATCAAAATTTATCATTATTTTATCATATATACGATGTGTTATCATAAGAAGAAAAAATTGCAGGCTTATAAAATTAACTCGGAATTTCACACGCATCAGAACATAAATGAGTTATTCGAAGCATAGTTTATACATGTATTTGCATTATGGCATAAAAAACAAGTTGTTACATATGTATGTAAGATGCAATAAAAATTTATGAGAAAAAATAATTATCTTCAGACTACGAAGATAAAAAGTACGAAGTATATAAAAAATAGAATACGAATTATTTTATATATTTTATTTTTTGTTTTGATATAATATTCTTCATATTGAATTAATTTATGCATTATATTAAATTAATTTTATGTATAAAATATTTTTTTTAATTCCTAAAATAAGTAACTAAAAAGAAAATTTTTTTTATAATTGGCAGCCAATTATATTACATACGAAATTGTTTATACTTTATGTTGTTCGATTAACTGTTTCTCACGTTCCTCCTTAAACTTTATCATGCGCGTTTCGTGCGCCCATCGAATCTCGTTCTGAATCTTATCCCGTTCATATTCCCATCGAAATTTCTTCAATTCCAGAGCTTTACGACGCAATTCCAGTTGGGCCGCTTACCGTAAGGCACATCTCTCCAGTAATTGCTCTTGAAATATTTTATTCTGCAACGGCGAGTAACCGGCCATAAAAAGAACCGGCCATCGCGTGATTTTTCTCGGAAAGTGCGATTTCCTCCGATGGACCGAACTCGTTTGTTCTTGAGATCCAGCTGCGGAAATGGCGAAATCTGCTTTACAAATCTTATAAAATAGATTTCTATTTATGTTCATCTTTATTTTATTAGTCAAATTTATGTTATATAGCTGGTTTTGGCATACATCAAAATACAAATCACAGCAATATGTACTTAAATTACCACTTATAACTGGTTCTGTGCTATTTTGATTTGTATCCCAATTTCTATTAGTTGGATTTATATTAATTTCATTATTTTCAACTATGATTTCATGATTTGTTGACAATTAATCACCACTTTGCATTAAGAGATTCATATTTTGTTGAATTTTTTTGATGATCAGCTTTTTCCCAGATTTTTCATCAGATTTCATCAGATTCTGGTTGCTGAATTTGAGAAGACATTTTGTCTGAATAAGATCGATTTTGATAATTCCAATTATCAAGATCTTCCAATCCTATATCATATAACACATTGTGGTCCATGGTTGGTTCTTGCTTCGGTCATTCATTATTCATGTTGATACCAAGAATATTAGTTTTATGCTTCTTGTTATGTGCATTTGTATAAACTGTTATCTGATATCTTCTAGACACTTCAAACACCATTACATGTATCGCTCCATGCGAGTTGCATTTTGATTATAGGACTTATCACAAAATTTGCAAAAGGCGATAATTAAGGAATCATCCACCTTCTTGTTATAATAGTTCCACACTATACCACGTTTCTTTACCATATTGATATATATAGCTAACTTTTAAATGTAGTCTCTTTTATTTTAATGTGGTCTCTATAAAATAAACTTTTCTAACAAAACATAATATTCTTAGCATAATCATATAAAATATGTATAGAATATTATTTATTATTATATTTATGAACATAAGATATAAATTTGAATACTATAACAAGATCGAATATATGCACAAAATAGCATAAATGACTTATTTTATTTCATATGTTCATTTAGTTTATACACTGTATTAGATTTCAATAAAACTTTAAGATGATCATGTCTCTTTGTGACACTTATTTTATTTTTAGCAGATAAACATATCTGCACTGGTATCAAATTTAAAATACACACTTTACTGAAAAATTAATAATAATAATAACTGTCGTTCCCTGTTCTCTGTTATAAATTCTAATAATAATTCAATGTATAGCAATAGTATAATGCTTACATTCAACAGTTTTAGCGTAATTTAACGTATAATCTCCAAGCTATGAGATTTCTTTGTCTGTACGATGCACTGACTTATGCGACGATCATTTTATATCCTGCGATGAACAAGGTGAATAGAATTCTTTTAAGAGCCGAAAGTTTTGCAAAATATGCGGGAATGTGTACAATATTATACAGTCCTTTAATTAACGATAGACGGCAATAACGCGCCCCTCTCACCAGAGTACTCTATGCGAAATGATCGAAATCAAGTAGTGAAAAAATGCTGGTAAATACACGATATTGTGTTCTATCATATTCCATGAGATGCAATTCTTTTAGTTACACCTTTGTTATTTTTGCAATATTTCTATAAAGAAAATCACTTACGCTTTTTTAATTCTCGATATTTTTTGTATTTGAATATAATTATGCTTAAATTGATTTTAATGTACACACATGTTGTAACAACTTGTTTTTGCGGGTGAATTAAGATTGTTATATCAAATTTAATAACCCACTTTTATCTCAAAAGCATTAGATTAATTGTGCAAAATAAATGTTATAATGACACAATGCGACAAGTGCTCTCAAAATTGTGTTACATTAATTTTGAACCATACCAGCTTTTATAACAGTATCAGGTTCAGGTTCTGAGAAATCTTTTCTCATAGTCCACATGTACTCATTATAATCCTGTTTAACGCTAGTGCTGGAAGATGCAACAACTTTGTAACCGAGCACTTCTAAAGCGGTTAATATTACACACGGATGTTGCAAATATACTATTGTCGAGTCGTCACAATATCCCCCAGAGGAGAAGCGACTCAGCTGCTCTATGTCAGCCGCTATAACAGTTGAATATTACATATTACACAATTTTACTCAAGTCTTGATTTCATACCTAAATTCTATCTAATCATACCTAAATTTTTGTATAACTATATCATTTATCATTTCCAAAATACCAATCTATCTTAAATGTACATTATATTTCCTACTTTACAATACTACTTGTATTGTTGCTAATATTAAAAAAAAAATTTAACAAATATTTAAAAATTATATTTTCAAATATAATTCATAAATTGCTAAACATATTAATTAGCAATTACAAAATTTAAAAAAAGCTAAGAGTAGCATGTGCACCTGTATGAGAACGAGTATAGGGAGAATTCATACCTTTAAGCCCTGATACTAAAACCCTCCAAGGATATTTATGACCGTATGACGCTAGGTTGCCACGTACTAGAATGTATGGCATCTGTAATAGTCAGCTAAAACAATCTGTATAGACGATACTTTATGAACACATATAATACACATCTAGATCAATGTGTTGAACTTTTGCACAGATATTGATACTAATCAAATATTATCTGTTACAAAAACTATTAATGCATATTAATAATGCATTACACAATTTGGAGCACTTATATCAGAACTCTAGTTGTATATCAAATTGAATGTTACATAAACGACAGAGTCCAGAGAGTTGTGATAGATCATCACATTACTTACAAACTTTTTTATACCAATTGCAAAATTAAGAAGGCAATCACACTTATTAAACAATAGTACACAAACAATAATATGATATTATTAAATAAACTAAAGGCTTATAAATACTAAGAAATATAAATTAAAAATATGAATAATGAAACACAATTTTTAGTACATCAATGATCGATAAATAATTCCAAAATTATCAGACGTTTTTAAAACTTTCTAATATATTACATCAATAAATAAACCATTTATCACTCTTAAAACTTATCATACTGTCTGTCTTAATGTATTAACCTAACCTTTAGTTTATTTAATTTTGATTTTGCAATCATAGAACCAATTTTTGTAATAAAAATAAAACAATAATAAGAGCTTTTTTAGAAAATTACAATTCTTAAAAATATAACAAACAGCTACGTCAAGCTCCGAGGTGGGTCTTTATTACTCAATACATTCTTTAAAAGAGAAAATTAACAAACATTTCGGCTACTAAACATTTTGGCCATCATCGGTGTAACAATTCAATCAAAATCATATACGTGTGTACAGTTCTTAGAAGGTTAACAATTACAGAACAGATAAATAATCAAAATTAACCTTGATTTTAACCAATAATCGAACAGAAAAATTATTAGAAGTATTTAAGAAGAGACGAAATATTTCATTTTAACAACGTATACCATTGGAAAAAACAAGCAATATGTTTAAAATTGATCTCTGTCATGGATTCATTAAGGATTCATTCATTTTTGGATTGATTGGATGTATCTTCAGAGCATCTTTACTAATGTCTGATTTAACGTACGTTTCAAATGAATTTTTATGTTTAATTGACTTTCTTTCGACTATCTTATTTGCGTTGAGTCTACAAAACTTGCGTGTCCACGATCAAGGATTAACTTTGATTATTTATCTGTTCTGTAACCGTTAACCTTCTAAGAACTGTACAGGTGTATATTATTTTGATTGAATTGTTACGCTGATAATGGCCAAAATGTTTAGTGGCCGAAATGTTTGTTAATTTTCTCTTTTAAAGAATGTATTGAGCAACAAAGACCCAGCTCAGGCTTGACGTAGCTGTTTGTTATGTTTTTAAGAATTGTACTATTTTTGTAATTTCTAAGACAAAATATGATAAACCAAATGTGTGAAAGCATTGTTGGTGTAATAAATGTGGACTATATACGTACAATCTTACATATAAGACATAATTAACATACTTGTATAATATGAAACACCTAATGTATTTAAATGTTTCACATAAAAATTATAATATTCTTAAAATTTTTCTAAATATCTATCTTTACTTTGTATAATAACAATTAAAATAAATAAATTAAGACAAGATAAAACAAATCGACAAATGAAAACGTACACTGTATATATTGGAATGGTTCCATGAAAATTTGATAAGAAACGAGATAATACGAAACTTCTACTAATGAGTCAACATTCCTGCTTTAATATCAATTGCGCCATACAAATTTCTTAAATACTTAGCTTGATGTATCGATTCTCACCTAAATGTAAACAGGACCGTGTCGAAGCTCTAAGAAACAATTAACGTTTCAGCGATACAAGTCAAATAGTCAACCACGTTTGCGATATCGGCAAATTATTACGAAATTCACTCTTTTCTGAATGTATTCTTCTATATAAATAGTGTACCTGAGTAACGTATCCAAAATAACGTAATCTATCACTTTGTAATATTTTCTTCGGCAAAAACGTGTTTTAATTTACGAAAGCACAAACAGACGCAAAAAAGTACGCAGTATTTGGCGCTGGGGAATTAACCATATATTATAAAATAATTAGATGGGACTGTGAATAGATTTCTCCCCAAAGAAAAAGAGGAGAATCAGATTGGCTATCATTTTGATATAACAAGTAAAATCCGATTGGCTGCTGCAAATATAAATGTATTTCCAGAATTTGTCACTAGAAATTTGTATTCCAAAACTTACAAGTATTTGGATATCTAGATATTAATACGTCATGGTTCAAAGAGTGCGTCCAATTTTAATATTTTTAAATGATTGACAGATATAAAAATTAATAAAATTTGTAAAAAAATAAACAATTACGTAATATTAAATTAATTGGTAAGGTTATAATTTTAGATTTTTCAATCAAGAATAATCACGCTCTGAACAATGCGCCCAACCAGAAAGGCAGCACCCTAGGGAATAAGTGCTCAGCACACGCGTTGACCAATCAACTGCTGTATGTGCGCACGTAAAATGATCACTATTATAATCGCTATTGAATAAATAACCCATTCTGTCATTTTATTGATATATGACGACGAGTAGAAGTACATACATACCAGAAACACAGTGTTACGTGCTGCCACTCCTCGGGGATTCTTTTACCGGTGACGAGATCGTGTAACAAATCCAACTTGCGCTACAAGCGGCTGACGTCTCTGCGCGGACCGCTGGACGCAAGTGAGGTTGGCGCGAGTGCGCGGTCGAGCCGAATAGTTGGACGTTATAACGAGAGTGACAGGTGGTTTGACGTTTGCTCGCCGCCATCGCCGTTAGCGACAGCGCGGCCTGCCATATTGCGCGTGATATCAGGGGGGCAAACGTTTGTACGTATCCGAGCCGTCGTGCAACTCGATGATTGAGTGAATCGAACAACGAGTCCGCGGACTGTCAACGCCACATTCCTCGATCCCAACCGCTAGCGACCAGTAACAGCTTTCTATACAACGCCGATTCACAAACGTGTAAGTACATAATTCTCCGCATTGTTGACATCGGAGACTCCTACTTTTCGGACGACAGCGCGTTATCGCATATTCGACAATTCGATAGCCAGAAACAACATACATCTGTGTCTATTCCTCACTTCGTGGTACTTTTCCTCTGTTCTTCTTACGATTCTCTTTACGTCGTCGATCATGGAAATTTTATTAATTGGACATAATGTAATTATGGGCAGTACAGTGCAGTATTGTTGATGTTTCAAAAATTTGCATCTGTGGAGCTTAGAAAAGCTCTGTCACAATATATATGGTTTTTGTTTCATTGAGTGTCAGATTAGCCTAATCTGTTTCAGATTCGTACTAGTTTAAAATTGAAATTTTAATACTACTGAGTCTATATATAAATATTAGCTTTATAATGAAGAAAATTCTCCAGTTATTCATGAATTATTCATAGATTTGTAAATAACGTTTGTGTTCAATAAGAATTTATTAGTAATTATCAAACTTCAGATATCACACTTAATTGAATATTCTTGTGAAATATTTTAACAATTGTTTTTTGAAAAAATGAATGTCAAGGATATTTGATACATACGATGTGTATAATCTGTTTGACAAAATAAAGACGAGATGATATAGTTTCTTATTAATTAAAAATTGTTTAAAGTTGTATCATAATCGTAGCAGTAACAATCAGAAATCGATCATTGACATAGCTTTAGATTCTCATCTTTGTTGTGACATGCCTTTATGAATCATGCATGTGTTATCTTTTCTTTATCTTGAATAAAACAAAGAATGGTACATGTCCTTGGAAATATAATTAACATAATCTATCTCAGACATCTTGTAACAATAAACATTGAAACAATAAGTTTCTGACGATAACCTATGGAAGTACATATTACCTAAAAGGACTAAAAGTAGGTTATGAGCTATATTTGTCTTTCGTGTTAGATGATAATGATAATAGTAAATATAAAGATATAATGTGATATAAATATTTCATTTTTCCACTATTTTAATTACAGGTGCGAAAATGTCGACCGGTCCATATAATTATTCCTATATCTTTAAATATATCATTATAGGAGATATGGGAGTAGGCAAGTCATGCCTGCTTCATCAATTTACAGAGAAGAAATGTAAGTGATAAAATGATTACACATACTTATAGAAAATTATGAATAAGAATTCTATTAAAGTAATTTTATACTTTATGATATATTACTTCCATTTTTCTCATAACTGCACTGTTAAAGGATATGCTCATTTCAATGATGTAGCCACTTAATTACACAACTGTATATAGCTTATTATGCTGTATGTATCATGCATGACATAGACAACATTATAATTGCAGTGATGTACTGATTCCTGTTTCAATATGTCCATGGTCAGTTCTTTTTAGTGCATAGATAAAGTATTAGTTTATTGTGAAATTATAATAGATTGTAAATATTGAACCTTTTATATTTGATAGAGAATTTAGATTTATTTTAATTTTATAAAAACACTAAAAAAATTAATAAAACTTATGCAAAACCAAGTTTGATACACTCAATTTGTATATATATTTATAATATCTGTATATCTTTCTTAATAAATACGTATGTTGTATATTGTCTACTGTAATTAAATTATATTTATTAGATATTCTTTCTGTACTTGTATAAAAATTAAAATATAACTTAAATATTCTTGCAAATTCAGTTATGGCAGATTGTCCACATACCATTGGTGTCGAATTTGGGACTAGAATTATTGAAGTAGCAGGACAAAAGATAAAGCTGCAAATATGGGACACTGCTGGTCAAGAACGATTTAGAGCAGTTACTAGGTAATAACTCTATAATTGATCGGTACTATTAACATTTGAAACAATAATTATAATTATAAAATGTAAGATAATACGTAATTTAAATACTGCATAACAAGAAATATTTCTTTTCAGATCGTACTATCGGGGTGCGGCTGGAGCTTTAATGGTGTACGATATTACCCGCCGTTCAACCTACAATCATCTCAGTAGCTGGCTGACAGATACAAGGAACTTGACAAATCCGAGCACTGTACGCATAATGCTATATTACATCCTATAATGCAATTATAAGAATTTTTTGCTTAATTGGTTTGTAAATTTGCATCTACACAATGCAAGAGAGAAAGCTATTTTTATGAACAATAACATCAAAACGAACTAACTCTTCTTACAGGTTATATTCTTAATTGGTAATAAGAGCGATCTTGAAGGTCAACGTGACGTTACTTACGAGGAAGCAAAACAGTTTGCTGATGAGCATGGTTTAATGTTTGTTGAAGCTAGTGCAAAGACGTGAGTATCTCTTTAATAAAGTTTAAACAAAATATAAATTCTTTCATAAATACAATTATTCTTATTTTTCAGTGGACACAATGTAGAAGAAGCTTTCTTGGAAACAGCAAAGAAGATATTCCAAAGTATACAAGACGGGCGGTAAGTTGGACAATAATTTATAATTACTATAAAATTGTAAAATATTACATTCCATGCTATACAATATTACCAAATAATGTTTGTAACTTAATTAATTTATTTCTTTGTTGCTAGATTGGATCTAAACGCAGCAGAGTCTGGCGTGCAACATAATCCCAGTCAACCGGGTCGCACCAGTCTCCAAGGTGTATCTAACGAACAGCAGGGTGGAAAGGATGCCTGCTCCTGTTAGGTCATATTTGTTTGTATATAGATATATTAATTGATCGGTACTATTAATGCATATGATTTGTACTAAATGTAGCTGGCAGATTGTCTCGTAGCCTGTATCCTCCCTTTGATAAGCAAAGTCTACTTAAAAGAAAAAGGAAAAGTTCAGGATAATTTTTTTTTTTAAATTAGCGTTGATTCACAATAATACGATGTTATAAATACACGACACATAGAAATGGACACATACGTCGTAAAAGTGATTCCAATAACGCTACTAGTTTTTTGACGCGGCATGAGTCAATGATCTATTGATAAACGCGGCTTTTCTATTATAATTGCAATTTATATACTATTTTGTATTTCTGCATTTTGTTGTAAAATCAGATGAAGGAAGATAATGCGTTTACAATATACACGCAATAGCAATATGTAGAAGCCAATCGAGTTATTATTTTCTCACATGTTTAAAAAATTTTGTGTTCGAACGCTTTAACAGAGATGTATATTCTACGAATAAGATTTATATTCAACTTATTCATATCTGCACGGGAGGATTATACATTTGTTGTAATTGTAAAATTGTTCTTGCTTTAAGAAATTTAATCGATGAAAATTAATTTAAATTGTAAGCCATGTTTCACTTTTTAAATCCTTTACTTGATAAGAGAGAGAAATATGCACATTCATGTGAATTTCATGATTTCAATTATCTTTGGAACTTAATTATATAGATAAAGAGAAAGAGTAGGGATCAATTTTCTTTTAATACCTAAAAGATATATATTTATTCTTGATGAAACGTAAATATATATATATATATATATATATATATATATA